TGACTGTATGAAATGAAAATGAAAATGAAAATAAAACATAAAAAACATAAACAAATAAATAAATAAATTAGTTGCAGCCCCAACCATTTCAGCAGGTTTTTATTGGTGCTGATTTCTGCCTAGGTTTTACTTCAGTGATGCTCATTTTTGGTGTGGCAGCCAGCTGATACCGTAGAAATGTAAGTCCATTGGAAGACTGGCTAATAAATTTAAATAATAAATAAATACAAATAGCATCTAATGGCAATATTGTGGAAGGCTGAAATAAATACAAATAGCATCTAATGGCAAGATTGTGAAAGGCTGAATTCCATCCTTGCAATCCTTTTCTAAAAGATATGGTGAGATTTGAATTTATGAAAGTGAGGCAGTTGCAATCATATCTAGTTAATTGTGTTTTTGTAAATCCCTAGTTCAGGAAAGTGAGGAAGAAGCAAGAGGAGAGAACGTGTGCCTGATACCTTTTAAATAAAATAAAATGCACTGATTTTAAAGTATGCATTTTGGTTGCAGGATAATCTAACCTTGCCCTAAGATGCTCCTTTGTTTAAGAACACTGAAGCTGTTCTGAGAGTATTTTGGATATTATTATCCAACAATCCTATGGCACAGTTGAAAGGAAATTAAAATGGCCTTTATCCTGCCCTTATTAACAAAGACTCACTGGTAATTTCAGCCAAATAGATTTTCCATGGAAACTTCACATCATTCAAAACACAGCTCCCATTTTCGTCTCCTTTTCAATTTAGGAGAAGCCCAACTCCTAGGGAATTCATGAGGGAAGACAGACATGTAACCTTCATGAGTTGCAAAGCTGAAGTTTTACACTACAGCAGGTTTTGTACAGATTTATGATCAGTTGCAAAGGTCACTTTGTTCAATGTCTCTTTCTCTCAGCCTGTCTTTATGAGATTAAGTTCAAGACTATGATATATACCCCAAACTCTCTCTCACTGGATATTGCTGGATGTAACTAGGGATGCTGATAGCTGTAGTTCAGCAATATTCAGAGACCCATAAATTCTTCACCCTGGTTATGCCTTCCAAATATTTGTCATTTACCTTGATTAAGGTAGTTAGTAATTCTTTATTAATTTAAACAGTCTCTGGGATTTAATTTTTTTTTAGAATAACAACTATTGTTGTGTCCTTGGAAGAAATTCAGCATTTTCAGGCAATGATTCAATGATAGCTAAGCCTTTACTTGCTATCATTTTCTACTATTAAAAGTAAAATTCCCTGGTTCAGGGAGAATAATTTAAGGAAGGCCATCCTTTCACAGTTAAATTGTCTTCTTCAACCAATTACAAATGATAATCTTTTACTTTTAGAAAAAAAGCTTGACTTGTTTCCTTCTTCATCCTGGGATCCTGTCCATCTCATGCCTGTGGTGAGCAGGTATAATCTGAAATGCACAGTATCCACTGGGCAAAAATTCCTCTTAGCCTGGCATTTTTTTTCAGAATTCTCAGGCTAGAATTACAGAAGAATCTTTACTCGGTGTAATTAAATGTGCATGATCTCTAAGGACTGATGGTTTGAGTCTAGGTCTTGAAATGTCAGGCTACAGGAGGCCTATATCTGCTAATTATAGATTCAGCACAAGCATTAGATGCACTTACTCTTTTTAATTAAGATTTTCTTTCTTGAGGTAATTTTAAAGCCCCACTTTTATCTTCTTGATGTGAGAAATACCTAGTTCTCATTTATCAATGCAGCATCCCTTAACCTGTTGTTCTCTCTAGATTAGTCCTAGCTATATGGAATATATCAAGCTACTGGACAGTCTATTAATAGTTAGAACATTAATATTAATGGTTGAATCATTATTATTAATTATTGATGATTGCATACAAATTTGCACATGATTATCTCCTGGAAATATAAGGCACAGCTTCCACTTTGTATCTCTGGGGTGAACACAGAAACATTCTTCTCATCAAATAATTGGCATTGAAATAAGGATAACTGTGCTTGCTTCAATTTTTCCAAAGACATTTTTTGTTATCCTCTTTGAAAGAGAGATGTTGTTTTCTATAACTCTTCAATCAATCACTCCTTAAACTTGATGTTAGGAAAGCTCATCTTATTGGGTATTAGTAAGGCCAAATGACATGGGATTAAGTCCAATTCAAAACATAAAGCTGGCTAAGTACAAATAACATTATCCCTCTCTTCCTTAACTGAAGACACAAAGTTATTAATGATACATACTAGAGGTTAGCAGAGGAAACTCTTACCTCCATGAAGGGCACAAGGCGACAGGAGAAGTTTCCCAGCAGTCTCTTCTTGGTAATTTCATTGAAGATGACCACAGGTAGGCAGAAGAAGAGGATAAGGAAATCCCAGAAAGCAAGACTGGCCAAAATGGAATTCCAGGCACTTTTCATATAGTAGTTGTGCCAGACAATGCACATGACCGAGAGGTTCCCAACGATGCCCACAGCAAAGACAATGAGGGACAGGAACATGACAGCATAAGCGCTATAAGAGCTTTCTGTCACTGGATAGAGAGGGTTCTGTATCTGAAAACGCTTTCCTAGTGCCACAGTTCTATTAACCTGGGCCTCTCTATTACCATAGACCGCGGGGCTCTGTTGGTGGGGCTCAAATGGACCTGTGCTGGTTGGTGCTGGAGGCTCCGTTGGCTGTAATGTGGCTGGGCTCGCAGGCCGAGGAAATTCTACTTTGACTCCTGGAACATACTGCTGAACTGACTTGGCATCACTGTCTTTTGTTCCTCTACGTGTTCTTCTCCACCTCAGCTGTTCCTCTGAGAACTGTTGCTCTTCATGGTTGGCAGTTGGTCCTAAGTCTCTCATCCTGCCCAGTTCTCCAAGTTGCTCCATCAGGACGCCTTGGGAGTTGACGTGTCTTTGTAAGTGATCTTCTCCAGCCTTTGCCTCCATTCTGGAGGGTGCATAGTTTCCTTCTATATACGGGACAGCTTCTTCTTTCATCAGGGTTTCCAGTGGCTGCAGAAAACTAAGCAAAAGCATACCTGTCCAAGGGAAAGACATCCTTCTTTCTGCAAAACAGAGGTAAAGAGAGGAGAGACGCAGAGAAAGCAATTCACCGAATGAACAGAGATGTCACTGCCCTCAGTGAAAAAAAAGGGGGGAAAAAGTTTCTTCACTTTGACTGATGGTCTTAAAAGAGGGCCGGGGGTATAGAAGAGAGTAAACGAGGAGATTGGAGTTTCAGTCCAGCTTGAGCGACGACAGAAAGACACTTTGGTCTGCTTTGCCAGCTCACTGCTGCTGTTTATTCCCTCAGATCTCTGGGCAGAATTAAAAAAGAAGGAAAAAAAATCAGTAATTCATTTCAATCCCCTTTTGTTGGCCCACAGGCCCCCTGGTGGCCAAGCTACAATGCCTACCAGCTCCTGTGAAAGGATCAAAAGCCTCACAGGCCTTGAGCGTCACAGGGAAAGAACGGTAGAAAGAAACAACCTGCTTTAGCCCTAGACCTTTGTGCAGGCAATTCTAGTTGTTTTTGTTTTGTATATTTGCTTTTGCGGTAAAGAGGGCATATTTCAGAAATAATCAGCAGCCTCTCACTGATATATTTCCCTTTGGCCAAACTCTGGGGAAATCCACATGGTAACTTCTAACATCAATGTATGGATTTTTATGGAGATAGAAAGATGCTTTGAACAAGGACAAAATGAAAGAGACCTTCATGTGACAGTGTAATAGGTTTCATAGCTGTCTGTGAGGGAACAGTTCAGAAAATCAAGCAGATGTGCCGGGACTGTTGGCTGAGTGAACCAAAGAACCAGTGGTGGGATTCAAAATACTGGTTCTGTGGGCGTAGCTTGGTGGGTGTGGTGTGGCTTGGTGGGTGTGGCAGGGGAAGGTTACTGCAAAATCCCCATTCCCTCCCGATCAGCTGGGACTCAGGAGGCAGAGAATAGATGGGGGCGGGGACAGAGGTGGGTTCTTCCCAGTTCGGCCAGGATCAGGCAAACCGGTAGTAACGGTGGCAGAAGGCTCTGCTCACCTGCACAGATGCTTCTGCACATACATGAGTGCGTGTGTGCGCATGAGAAAACCAGTAGTAAAAAAAATGGAAACCCACCACTGGGTGGGGGTAGTCAGAGGTTGTATTTACCAGTTCTCCAAACTACTCAAAATGTCTGCTACCAGTGCTCCAGAACTGGTCAGAACCTGCTGAATACCACCTCTGCAAACAACCTTCAGAAAACCTGTCCTTAAGCCACATTTTCCAAGAATATTTACTTTGTGTACATATTAAGGCATTCTATCCTGTCACTTTTTCACAATGTTGGACCTTCAGTTTTTCTTATTGCTTTCTTATTGCTTTCGAACAATTACAATTGGATTAAGACTGAGAATGACTCTGGTTTATATCCTGATCCTGATTCTGCCATGAGAACTGAATTATGCCCCTGGATAGGTTCAATCATTATCTGACAGCCTAAGCCACAGGTATCAAACTCGCAGTGTCATGTTGCCATAACGCGATGTTTCACTGTTTTTCTTATTTGCAGAGCAGGGGTGGGCGTGGCCTGCGCACACAACACATCCAGCCCATGGGCCATCAGTTTAACAACCCAGAGAATTACTATGTGGATAACATTAGAGAAGCAAATATGGAACTGATGGTGGAAAGGTGAGGTATAAATCCACACATAAAAAAAATCAGCCTCCGTTGTTTGGTATTATATAGGTTTCTCTCTCAGCTTTACATATGATAGTATAGCTAAACTATCAAAATACAATTGAGATGCCTAATCTAATTGGACTGAGAAAAGATCGAGATGTGGTAGAAACAGTGAGCTCTCTGTCTCAATAAGGCTTACTTTACATCTTACTTTCTAGATGTCTTAAGAAACTATTTATATCGACATTTTCATCTATCATTTTACAATTTTGCTTCAAAAAATATCATCGATGCTCTCTATCCAGGCAATATGCTCTATATTTTAAAACTGAATTGTATGCTAAATATTTTCCCCTTCTGTTTAAATTGCTTGCTTCTTAAAGGACTGCATCAAGAAAAGTTCTAGTTTTGTATTGTGATCCCCTAATATTGTTGTATCTGGCAGCTGAACCAGTATGTTTTCAGCCCAGCTATTGTGCAACTAGAAATAATGTCAGTGTGGTTTTCCAGTTGAATAACTGGAAATTCTCATAGCTTGAGGATGGACCAAATTTTTGCATTAAATTATAGTTCTTGTCATTCCAACTAATATTGCTATTGTCTGATCTGAATTTTTACGTGACACATCTGAAATGCATCAGGCTGGACAAAAGTGCTGTGAATAGACAGGCATGGATTTTTCAAATTCTGTTCCTTCTTGCTGCATAGTGTATAGAGCAATTGATGGATTTTTTTTTGTCACTTGCATGCTTTCTTTCCGGAGGCAAAAGATTGCACTGATCTCAAAGCTCTTTTATTCCCACAGTACAGAACTGGAATTGGCATAATAAATACACACACACAAACAGAGAGAGAAAGAGGGAGGGAGGGAGAAAGAGAGAGAGAAAGAAAGATCATTCGATGTAATCATTTAATTCTATCAGCATTTTTGGAAGATAGACTTAGTCTCTAGATAATGTCCAATTTGCTGGCTGGGCCCAGGACATCATAGATGCTATATTATCCTTGTTTGGATAAACCCAGTAAAATGTAGTCCAATCTACATTGTATAAAGTTGGAGATAAGCAGTAGAAAGCAACAAGGCAAGAAGAACAAGGATTAAGAAGGGTCTGCTTATAAACATTCAAGCAAAAAACATAATGTCTTGCCAATCGGACACCCCTTTGGCAACTCTGCTTCTGGAAGTCAAGGAGAACAAAGTTAAGGAGAATCATCTCAAACACCCAGGAGGTTGGAGTAACACAGAGTTCACAAGAATACAGCCCTAGCCATAAAAGTTTTTCTTGTTATTTGTGTCTTCATCCATACCTCTGTTGTATGGCTCAACTAGCTGAACTCATTCTTCCTCAGCAGTTAATTCACATATGACATAAGAAGACTAGCCTAGATGATGTTCCATTTTCATCCAGAGATATAGTAGCCAACATGACCTCTAAGAGATAACTCTGCTTTTATGGAAACAAATCCAGTACAAGTACAAATCAAGGATGGAAATTTTTAGAAGAGGTTTTAGGTGATATCCTAATAGGACTAAAGGGCAAAAAGATATTATCTCTAAACAACCGAAAACACGAAGAAAAGAGCACCTCTCCTGTGAGGCTCTGACAACCTCATTTATTCCTTTCATCCCCAAAGAGGCTCTTGAGACACAACAAACATTTAACATCCGACAAAGGGGAGAAACCTTAAAACTACCTGTTAAGAAGATTGTATTTGAGATACATATCAAAATCTTTTGTACCAAATCTAAGACTCAAATCAGCAGTAGTAAGAATGTGCTGTCATTATTATTTTGAGGTCCTGTTTTCACCTTATGCATAGCCCAGATTACCTTTCCCTTCCTTATGTTCATATCACCAACACACTCATGCAATCCCACTGTTTTCCTCCTATTTATTGATTGAAACTCTCAAAGGCATCATAATAAACATATCAAGATGGCATTTTGGACTAACTATGAAGTAATATTTCCCTAAGCAATAAAATTCTACATGATATTTAACCATTAACAAAAGCCTTAGGAGATATCAGTCCTTGTAAATGACAAGAGTTGATCATGTGATCCAATCAGGCCATTTATGGAAGTGAGATGGGCGGTTTTATTTTCCAAATAGTGTAGCTTCCCGCATGGAAGAACCCTGGCATGATGGTTGCATTACGACAGATGTACAGTGACTTTTTGCAGTTGCTCAACATTCAGATAATTAAAGCCTTGGTATTATCTCAGCTAAAGCCCCAGGCACTCCCTGTCCTAGCAAGAACCAGAGATGGAAATCAAACCTTAAATACATATGGATTACAAAAAGGTTGTATCATGAAGATTAACTGAAGCTTTTAAAATGGCACTGGCATGGAATTTTACTTTGTCCCTGCATGCCATCTGAATGAGGCAGCATTTTTATAAGTTCTATGTGGTGTGGGGCCAGATTACTTGCAGGACTGCCTAACTTTAGTGGTCTTTGTCTGTCCCACCAAATCTGAAACAGTAGACATGCTCTGGGTCTCCTTGGTGAAGCAGGATCTGCTGCTAGGATTTAGGAAGCATATCTTCTCTGTCATGGCATTGCCTCATGGAAAAACCCTCCTTGGAAATTCAGGAGGTTCCCACCCCAGCTCCCCTCTGCTCCTGCCCTCCACTGCAGGAATGGGTTGCTCCCAGCATTACTGCCAGCTTCGCTCACATGCATGCCAGATGTGCGTTCCACGCATGTGCAAAATATTAAAAAAGGGAAATAAAGTTGTGCAATTACAATTGTTTTGCACATGTGCAGAACTGAAAATCAAGATGGCGGCCACATAGGAGAACTGGTTCGGGGGTGTAGCAGACTTGGGTCACTGCCAGTTCCAGTGACCCAGGCCACCAAATCACTACCAGTTCGGCCAAATTGGTCTGAACTGGTAAGAACCCACCTCTGCTCCATAGGGACCAGGAACAGGATATTAGTGGAAGCCCAGTATGTGTATCTGAATACAGATTTTTTTTTACAAGGGCTTTAACTTAGTTCATATAATTGATTCTAATTTTCTATTGTCACTCAGAGAAGATAGGTTTTCCACTTAGATTTATTGGGTGAGGATTTGTTTTGCATTATTTTATACTGAAGTTTGGAGGAGTGTTTCCTTCAGATAAGTGATTACTTGCAATCAGGTTTGTAGGAGCATAGTTTGGGATTGCGCACTGTACAGGTCTGCTTCATATTTACTTTATATATCTAGCTTTCAAGAAGAACAGAATCAGTGGACGAGCCTCTGTTAAACACTTGAAATAAGACCGTTCGACTACACCAGTTCCCTTAAGTTTGTATTTTTTCATTTCTGCTTTGAATATTCCAGGTTTGTCCACAGACCAGCAAGATTTGGAAATAATAAGCAAGATAGCCTGAGGGCAGAGCTAGTATAGCTGGACTGGGAACACTCCAGGGGTGGGTTCCTGCCAGTTCTAACCTCTTCTATAGAAGAGGTTCCACAAACCTACAGTGCCGTTTAGAACCAGTTCCAACTCCCTCCCCCTGCCCGTCCGCACATCATCAAGATGAAGAGCGAGAGGAGGAATTCTGGGAGTTGAAGTCCACAAGTCTTAAAGCTGTCAAGTTTGTACACCCCTGGGGTTTTTTTTTCTAAAGGGGGGTGCAAGGGGCTTGTAACTTGACAGCT